GGGAGGGCCTCAGGGTGCGGGCTTGCGCGTCGGCCCTCGCCTCCCCCCGGGGGCAGCCATATTGAAGCCCCGTTGGCTCCAGGTGCTGACCTTGGTCACCTGGCTGAGGTAACTGGTCAGATTTCTCCGCTATCAAGCTATTCTCCCCACACCCTTCCCATTTCCGTACGATAGTAAGACCTTAAGGATGTAGAAAGTTTCCTTTACCTTGAAGAGAGTCCCTAACAACGGTTACCCTGGCCTGGAGGGGATTTGGGGAATCCCCGCCCCGGGAGTGCGGCGCGGGGCGGGGCGGGGCCGATCTCCCGAGGGGGCGGGGGTTGTTTCCACGCAGACCTCGCCGGGAGGAGTCCTCCCAGGCCCCTGGGAGCCCGAAGGCCGTGGTCTCCTCCCCCAGGCTCCGCTCGGCCGCTCGGGCGGGCCCGCCAAGATGGCACACCCTGGGGGCGGGGCCCCCAGACCACGCCCCCACGCCCCTGGACCAGCGGCTCCGCCCCTGGACCTAGCGGCTCCGCCCCGGGGGNGGGCAAACCCGCAGCGCCCGCGGAGTTTTCCGCCCGCCTGGCTCCTCCTCCCGCCCCGCCCTGACGGCTGCGGTGCCCGCAGGTCCGAGTTCCCCGAGGGAAGGCGCGGGACAGAGCTCCAGTCCGGCCCTAGGCGCGCGCCCGGGACGCCCGCCGAGAGAACCGCTCCCGTCCGCGTCCCCCTTCGCCCCTCGCGGCTCCTCGCCCCTGTGGCCCGGGACCAGGTGAGTGAGGTTCCCCGCCCGCCCGGCGGCTTCCTGGTTCCTCAGCGAGGGGGTGGGGGCGGTGTCCGGCTGGCCGCGGACGGGCCGCCTCTGCGGGCATCGGCTCNGCTGCGGGGACCTTCTCCCCGTGGGACCCCCGTGGCCAGGGCCTCGTGACGGCGCTGAGCTGCCGGGGTCAGGGGCTAAACGGCCTGGACCGACTTGGGACCGCGTGATCCTGCGACCAGAGGCGAGCGGCTGGCGTGGGGGTGGCGGTGGCCGCGTCCCCTCTGACCCAGCCGAGCCTCCGAGCGCGCGCCCTTCCGGGAAAGGTTCGCGCGGGGAGCCGGCGGAGGAGGCTGCGCTCCGGCACTTTCCGCCGCAACCGGGAGGGCGCAGAGTCCCGCGGGCGACCGCTGGAGTTTGTGTGTCAGGCGCTTTACCTGAAAGAATGCGGGGCTCAGCCCGGGGCTGCCTCCTCTGCCTTTCCACCTTCGCCAGCCTTGGCGACAGTTTCAGGGAGGGGTTCTTGGACTTGGATCCCCCCTGAATGCTTAACAAGGTGGGAACTGCATCCGCGTCTTCAAGGAGAGTCGTGGGGCTCCTCGCCTCGGGACTGGAGGGCAGAGGTAGGCGCGTCAGTACCGGCTCAAGCAGGAAACAGTCTGCCTGGGACATTTCTGTCCCCGCCCTGCTACTCGGTGACTTTTTTGTAGAGACGACTGTTTTAGGACAGACGCTGGGTGTTGAGGCGGCTGCTCTCTCTCCGGGCCCGTCACTTTGTTCCCTGTGGCCATGGCCCGGGCATGGAGTGGCACGGTGAGGGGCGAGCCTCTGCCCTGTCCACACAGCAGGAACAAAAGCTTGCAGGGCAGGGCCAGGCTGAGTACAAGGCAGGGTCTGTTACCTTGCTTACCCCTAACTGGCTCTCACTAAGTTCCTTCATTCTCTCCTTGATTCAGTTAACTGTTGGGAATTCCAGGAGGATTAACGGGTGCCCTTCCCTGAGGCACTTTCTGTGGTGTGAGGTGTTCCCTGATAAGAGTGGCTAGGTGAGGTGCCAGGATAGTTTGTTGTGCTGGCATTGGGTCCTCAGCTTGGGCTCCTGCATCCCTCCCTAATCCTGTCTCTTAACTAGTCCCCATGCCTTGGTTTCCTCCTCTGTAAAATGGCGGTGATAGCCCTAGCCAGTGTGGCTCAATGGTTAGAGCGTCGGTGGGCCTGCAGACCGAAGGAAGGGTCTCAGGTTCAATTCCAGCCTCACTTGCAGGCTCCATCCCCGGTCTCGGTCGGGGAGCGTGCAGGAGGCAACCAATCAATGTGTCTCTCTCACATCGATGTTTCTCTCTCTCTCTTCCTCCTTCCACTCTCTCTGAAAAGCAATGGGAAAAATAACCTCAGATGAGGATTTTTTTAAAAAATGGGAGTGATAGCAATACCTAACTCACAGGGTGATTGTGAGGATTAAATGAATTAATATATTTAACAGCCATACAGCTCAGGCACTGACCTGAATAGGTGGTGACTGTTGTACCCTACCTGTGTGTCTCAGGTGGATGTCACCCAGATTAGACATAAAGCTAACAGCAAGGCTTTGTGCATAAGTAATCATCTGTAAGGGTCCATGATAATATAGTGGTAATAGCTATCACTGCCTTCATGCAGCTGAAGGTCCCACCGAGCTGAACTGCTCTTCTCACCTGCCCCTCTCTCTTTCCTCATGCTTTATGCCCTTCTGGAATGCCTTTCCCTCATTTCTGTCCATTTTTTACCCTCCTGGGTGCCATCCAGGTGCCTGCTCCTTGCAAGAAGGGACAAGATATGCTGTGAACCCACAAAGCTCTCCTCCTCCACTCCTTTGGCACTGACCCACTTCTCAGTACTGGCCTTTCATAGCATTTATATGGCCATGTATCTTACCTCTGCCCTGACCTTTTTCTCTAGAGGGTGAGGGCTGTTTCTTACTCATCTCTTAGTCTCACAGCACCAGGATGGGCCTTGCCTAATGTGGATGCTCAGTAGATGTTAGTTGAGTAAGAGAGGCAGGCCAGGGAACCAAGGTTTCCCTGTTGTTAAAATATTAGACCTTGAGATGGAAATGAGTACAGACTGAGTGGTGGGAATAGAAGCTGGCTGAGAGGCCAAGTAGAAGCCCTTTAAATACTCAGAAACCTAAGCATATATGTTCTTTTTTACAGGCAAAAGGAAAGAAACCATTATTTGTACAGATGATCCTGGAAAATATATGGAGTTTGTATGATGCTGTCTTTTAAATGCCGTCTTTTAAAGGTTAACTCCTTTATGTAGCCTTTATGTAGCCAGGGCAAGGGTGACAGACAGGGCTTATCCTGGATTGCTGTTCCTAGAAGGCCAAGATTGATTAGTGATACCTTCGTCATGTGCTTTGGAGGAGGATGGGTAGTGTGGGATGAAGGAGGGAAAACTAAGCCAGAATAGGTTAGTGTGGGTTCTTCTTTAGAATTAACTGCAGAATGGAGAGAGAAAGCCGGTGTGGGCAGGAGGTGAATGTAGAAATGAAATCTGTGCTGCATGCTGGTTGTTCAGAGGCCCTTGGGCCTTTCTGGAGCTCTTCCTCCTTCCTTCTTCTCTCTTCTTAGCTGCCATCTTCTCCCTGTAAGCCTGAAGCAGTTCCTGGCACTTGGTTCCCTGGGGCACTTGGTGGAGAATCTGTATATGGGTGTTCATCACAGTTATAGCCAAGCAAGTGGACCTAGGTTTCTCTGAATTTTTCTCTGCAACACCCTCTGATTTCAGGAATTTGAGTGATACCTAGGTAGGAAATCTCTTAAGGGAAAGGAAGAAACTGAAGTTTCCTTGGTGGGAATTTGCATTTTAAAAAGGAGTTGCTGAAATTCAGTGACATATCTGAAACTGGACAACAATGGGTCCAGGCTGCCTGTCACCACTTGAGCCAATTAAACAGAGACAGGATTGAATCATATATGAGCATTTATTCCAATATTGCTGGCAGTGTGGGAGAGCAGGGGGTCATCCACAAAAATCTGCTCTACTGCTCCCCCCTCAGCCAGCTGTTTATTTCGGGTAGGAGGACACAGATTACATGGGAAAGTAGGAATTACAGGCGTGGGGAAGTAGGCAAGGAATAATCCCAACAGGTTACACGCAGTGTGGCCTGGACGGCCAAAAGGATGGACTCCAGGGCGGGTGCCTCCGGGATTCCACCCTTTCAGGAGCAAGGCTATTAATCTTCCTGTGATGATAAAAGAAGTATGGACCGCATTCCAGCGTTAACTCCCATGTCCGAGGGTGACTCCCAGCCAGGTTAGAATATGCTTTCTCAAATCAGAACAGAGCGATCACTGTTAACAGAGTGTGATTAATATTTCTTATAACTATAGCTAAAAATCATGGTTAACAGAGCATGATTAATATTCCTGCCCCTCACATATCTAATAACCACTGAAGCCATACATTCAGTCTACTGACCCTAACCCGGAAATAAAGGTCGTATGACACATGATGGGAGGATCCTAACAGTACAGCCTGACCATGCTACACTGCTGTGAGAACTTAATGGCTGAGGGCCACCAAGGAGTCAGGAGACTGAGCTCATTTGTGCTAGGTAACCTGGGACAAGCCATATAACCATACAGGCTCCCAGTGTTCTGAATGGTAAAATGCCTACCTCAAATGATTGTTTGCAGAACCCAGTGAGAAGATGTTTGCAAAAGGGGTTTGAGATCAGTTAGGGGGTGGACGATGATAGTGGTGATATCTTGTGTGTTTTACTGTAAGGAACCTTGAAGCTGGAAGTTGCATGTGCAGGTGGTTGATGCCTGGCTCTGATCACTAGTGTCTAGTCTTCCAGATGCTCCTGCTCCTGAACGTCCCACTGCCTTAACAGAACAGAAGAGAGGAATCACTTCTGAAATTGAGAGGGAAGTCAGGTGTCCCTAGCCCCTTACATCTGTCGTGTGAGGAGAGGCTGGCTTGGAGCACAGTGAGATGAGAGCAATCAAAGTGAGCTGAGAGAGAAATTCAGAGGCTGTTAACAGGCAGGTGGAGGGAGTATGTGGCAGATTAAACCCAGGGAGTGGCATCTCTGGGGAAAAGGGTATGTGTGGGGGAGTGGTGCTGGTGATAGCAGATGTGAGGTTGCTGTGTCCACCTAAAAGGTTACAGCTATTTTTAGGAAGTGGGTGACAAGGCATGTTTCTGTTGAACTCCTCATTAGTGAGTACCCACTGTTTGTCTAGTGCCACCCAGCCTGGGTTGTCCTCTGCATTCCCCGGAGACACAGGACACTGGATGGGAACTAGGTGTGGAGAATGGGGAAGATCATGAATTCAGTTTTGGACTTGTGTTGGAGGTGCCTTTGAGATACCAAATAGGCAGATGTGTCTGGCTCAGGAGGAGTCTGGGCTAGAGGGATGCTTTGTCTAGTTGTAACTGATGTCGAAGGCATAATGAAATTGAGGAACTCAACTGGAACAACTGAGTAAAGGAAGTCGAGCCTGTAAAGGAGCCAGAAAAAGAGCAGTTCAAGAGGGGGAATGACCCAGACAATGGCCCACACAGAAGCCTCGGGAGTCTGCTCCAGTGCCCCAGTGCCGCTGTGGGAAGCAATGTGGGGGAGATTGAGCACCTTAGCTGTGGCTGTTTTGTGGGGTGTTAGGAGCAGAAGCTGCATGGAATGAATGGGGGGAGTAGCAGGAGATGAGGTGATGATCTGGGGGTACTAACTATAGACAAGCTTTGAAGGTGTGGGCTTTGAAGGGGGGAGAAAGGGTGGTGCTGGAGGAGGACAGCTTTGAGGGGTATTTGTTTCTGTTTCCTCAACCCATCCCCCTCCCATTTCACCTGAGAAGGAAGCAGTGTGGATGGCCTGCAGCCAAGGATCCCTCCCTATCTCTATCCATGTCACATAGACACAGGCATCTGTAAAACAGTGTGTTTCGCCAAACGGATTCATGTGTATACCACTCTGCAGCTTATGCTTTTGGTTAATTTCTCATGGACAATAGCTCTGGGTTACTGCTCTTCCGTGTCAGTGGCAGATCTATATATAATGTTCAGATGTACCATAATTTATTCAACTTTTCTCTTATTGATGGGTATTGAGACCGTTGACTATTTTTATAACTGGAACAGTATTGAAGTAAACAATTTATAGGATCCTAATTGGAATGTCATTGAATGTATTTAGTATTTATAAGGAAGAGTTGACCTTTTTATGATGTTAAGTTTTCCAAATCAGGGACAGATTACAGACCTTATATATTTACTAGATATTGTGAATGGGAGTCTAACTGGATGTGCTAGAATTTAAATATATATGTGTATATATAGAGAGAGAGAGAGAGAATTTTTTGTATCCTTTCTATTTTTCATGTATTTGTTGGTCATTAGTTTCAAACTTTATCTTTATTCATTCCTTCTTTTGGCATATTTTGTTGCTCTACTTTTTTTTTTTTTAATTTAAAATATGTCTTTATTGATTTCAGAGAGAGGAAGGGAGAGGGAGAGAGAGACAAAGACATCAATAATGAGAGTCATTGACTGGCTGCCTCCTGTAATGGAGATTGAGCCCATAACCCAGGTATGTGGCCTGGCTGGGAATCAAACCGCCATCTCCTGGATCATAGGT